TGTTGTGAAGGTTGCCAGATTCCAGCCTCTCCCTTGTGTGAGAGCTGTAAGCCCCAGGAGAGGAGACTTGAGCAGCAGAGACTTGGTGAAATAGGGGAAGGAAAGTTGGCTTCTCAGCAACATAGTAGGCAGTTCTCAGCTCTTGTATGATTTATAGAGTAGGCCACAAGCTGCCTAAAATCCAGACTTTCACAATGTGGGGTTGGGACCAAAAGCTTGGGTCTAATTCTTCTCCCTGCTCTTTTACTGATCCAACTGCAGTGAGCCCAGTTCAGAGTATTTCTGCCCCACTGCTGGTTTAACGGGGAGGTAAAGCCAGGACTAATGGTCTTCTGGGTCTCAAACTGAGACCTGGCATGGAGCTGCCAGTACAGAGTAGCACAGAGTTGAGCTCTGGGGCTGCTTCGCCGCGCGGTGCTGCCGTTTATTATGTAGGCTGGGAGCGTGGGCACGCCAGCTGGGGGAAATTAAGCTCCAGGCCTAAGGCTTTATTCTGCTGCGGCTGTTATTAGTCTGGATTGCAGCATGCTGACATGGTTATACTGCTTTTGGAAATGAGCTAGCTTGCCTGGAGCGCGGGTGGGAAAGTCCATGCGGCACCGTGGGGTACCCTGCAGTCCACAGACGTGAGGGGTCAGGAGTCTTTGGTTGTTTATTTCCTTTCTAAATATAAATTCAAGCAGGGGGGTTAGATGCTTTTGTACTGGTAGTGTTTTTGCTCACAGGTCAGCTTTATTAATAATGGTAGTGCTTAGGGTAAATGAAAGCAGAATGCATGCTATGGTCCCTGCTCCAAAAGCGGGAATGCATAAATTAGAGCTGATTATTCCCCTGAGTTGTCATTATCAGTTAGTTCCCTGAGAAGGATCATGACAGAAATGGGTCATTAGAAGAATCGTGGATAAAGTGATTGCCTTTGCAGATGAGCTCTCAAGAGGTGTTTTATGGTTGGGGCAGTGTTGATAGAGACAGAGCAGTCTGCACAAGGAGAGATTTGCCCAGACCTCTGGAGCAAGATGATGCAGTGCTAGCCCGAAATGTGTCTGGCTCCTTGCAGCATTCCTTGATTTAGCTCTTTTCACACCGGTATTAAATGTAGAGGTGTTGATATTTTATGTATACATGAACATTGTTCAATCTACTCATACCAGAGATGAAAGATAAGTTTAGGGTGAAAATGATTTGCAGCAAGAACTTCTGTTCCAAAAGCTGCATGGAAGGGAGAGTCTGGTAGATGCAGTGCTAAAATTGGTCTTGGCAAAATTAGACTTCGTTCTTGAATCTTCACAGACTTTTGTGTAACCATGGGCAAGCTGCAGTCTCAGACACTCCCAGATATTAAGAGGTCTTGCTCTTCTTCATGTCAGTGAGATGGGTGCCCAAATAGGTGAGCACTTAGGCATTTTAAAGAATGTGAGCCCTAATCTCTTTTCTCCCTTTGTGCTTGACAGAGGTGGCATGAAAATAAACACTTTGAAGAGTGTAGAGTGCTGAGACACCACTGTAATGAGGCCATTACTGAATCTAAGCATGTAATTAGATGGAAAATGTTTGCCTTCATAATGAATAGATGCTCTTACGCATACATTCCTCAGTAAATTGTCAAGTTCATCCTTTCTGTAGTTTCAATAATTTCACTGTGTATCTGGGGATGGATTTTCTTTGGCAAAGTCGACAGGAGGGGAGAGAGGACCAGACCGGACCACAAGGAGGACTAGGAAATGTTTTCTGATGAGACTCCTAAAAAGATGCTGCAAGGAGTGCAATGCAGAAAGGGCAAACTACAATCTTTAAATGTAGTTAGTGAAGCAAAATAACAGCTCAGTCTCATATGTACCAACTCTGCAAAGCAAATTTCAGATGCTAAATATATGATACACACCTACTCTTTTATTTCTGTTCGGGCAATCTTGATTCTTTTGCCTCGTAAAATGCACTCAGTGGAATAAATTTTAGGAGAATTAGCAGCCTGATTTAGTTGTCACTTGCACTGTTTTTGTGCCTGTGCTTTCATGGGCATGAATAGGGCTCCTGATATTATCTCTATGCTGAGCACAGTCTCCTTCCAGCCTTCATGTCCCTGCCTGATCCAGACGATACGTGCAGGGTCTCCACCACCCTTGGTACTGTACAGGCAGGGTCTTGGTGCAGAAGTATGTAGAAAATCTGATGTGTATTAAAGAAAAAGCCACATTTTCTGACTTTGGTTTAAGTCACTGTTGGTGTACTGCTCAGTTTTCTTCAAAGCCAGCTATATTACCCCACACGTGCAAAAGCTGAGGCCTCAGTCGGGGATGTAACATCCTAGTAAGAAACTCCTCCATTCATAGCCTCGAGAATTAAGCAGGGCATCCTGAAACAGTATCCTATGGGGCTCTTTAGCTGTGGCACTTGCTTTAGTGTTAAAAACTAAATCATCTATAATGGCAGCACTGCCTACTAGATCGATGCTGAATTATGCCATATGCTTCTTTGATTATAAATGGGTTGACTCCTTTGGGGGCTGTTCAAATGAGTGTGCTGCAGTTAGGTGTGATGAATCCCACCTGAGCCACTGGTACTGGTGAAACTCAGAAGGAGGGATGATATGAAGGCACACTAGGAGTGAATTCTAGACCTCAGTCCTCTCCCTGTCTTCTTACAAGAGATACAGGCATTTGTGGGTGACCTTTCCCTCAAGTAACATGGGAAAATAATCTAAAAAATTTTTTATTTGCTGTTGGTTATGTGGTACATTGCCATGCTCAGGTGGGATAGCAGTGAGGGTGTTGGTAGCAGTTCTTGGCTGCATACAGCTTCTCCACTCTGCCCACTCCCTACCCCAGCATAGGCAGGGAAACACACCCAGGAACTGCCAAGGGATCCAGCGGCAGGATCATTCCAGTGCTGCTCCATGCCCCAGCTCTGCCCTGCCTGTTCCCAGCTCCTACTGTGATCCCAATCAAATGGCCTCAACTAAGCAGTTTTCAGAGGGTAGAGGGAAAAGCAATGTGACACCAAGGACATATCCAGAGAATAATGGAAGAACTGGGCCAGGAGCAAAGAGAGGGGGTCTCATCTCTGTGAATTCTTAGGCCTCAGCACTAACTTCTCTTCCAGCAGAAGTGAGATACTTCATCTTTCTGCCTGTAAATGGAATTGGTTTGGAAAAAAAAATAAAATTATGTGAAGATGTGAGCTTTTAATTCGAAAGAAAGAAAAATTTTAAAGTTCAAACAGGGAACTGTACTAGTTAGTTGTTTGTTTGTATTTAAAAATTAGCCTGGTGGAGATCTTTTACTATTTGGAAATCCCCTTCTCAGAAGAAGAGGATGAGTACATAAAAAAACCCCCATCTATAAAACCTCTTCTCCTCACTTATCTTTATTTCCAGGGAGTTCCTTGCAGCCTAGACCAGCAGCCAGGACTCACACATGAGGAATGCTTCAGTGCACGTTGTGGTTTGTCAGTCCAAAACAAAGTGACATCTCTACAAACACTGCAAGAGTTGTGTCTGGTAGTTGTCTTGCAGAGTTCCACATTGAGTTGAGGTAGAAGAGAGAGTCCTCTCTTGGGCTTTGTGCTTTTGATGGATCTGAAGTTGTTACAGATTTCAGTCCCTCAGCACCACCAACACTGAATAGTAAGGTGGAAATTAGTCCACCTCTTAAAGCTTTTTTTTTGCCCTTTTTTTTTAATTTCCAGATACCATCAGGAAATTAAATCAAAGCTCTGCTTTTCTGTGCAACAAGTAGGTCTTTGTTGGCAAGATCTAATTCATCGCCAGTGTTACGAGGGGAGCCAAGCTGGCCCCCCCAGTTAATGACTGGGCTGAACTTTCCCCGCAGTAACTCGATAGCTGTACAGCTGTGCAGGCTCACAATTTGCTCCTTGATTGTCAGTCTCCTGACAGCTTTTTCAGTGGAACAGTTTGAGAGGAGTGGAAAGCCCTGCTTTGGAGACATAGAAGTGTTTTCACACCTGAAGTGTAGTTTCACACCTTGTGTTGCTCAGTAGATAAGTGCGTAAAATAGCACATCAAACGGGAACAGAAGAGGATAGAAATGCTGTAGACAAGAGACGGAGGCTTGTTATTTATTTCCTATCTTCAGCACACTCTGAAATAATACTCACTTGCAGGAACCCAGGCACAGATTATGAAGGGGTTAGCAGAGGACTTGTCTAGCCAAGCAATCTGTCGCTGTCACGTGCAGAGCAAGGTGAAAACTTACACTGAGCTGGATCTGTGGAGCATTGGGAGCTCTGAGACCACAATATTAACAAGCACATAACAGAGGTGAACTAATTAATACAGGAGGCAGCAAGAGTTTAATGAACAGATTTACAGGAACACTAAATTGGACCATTCCTTCCTAGGCATGTTTACTCCTTGTATTGATTTAGATAGTGAATAAAATTGACCCTGAGTCCACCAAAAAAGTAATAGGAGAATTTGGAAAAAACTTGAAATTATCATGGGAGATAAATCATTCCACTGTGTATGCAGGTTTCTTTTCCCTGTCTTTCAACATCCTTTTGCTTGGTATCTCAAACAATAGGTCACAGAGGCATTCTTCCAAAAGAGAGTGGTGGAGAGACAAGGGCAGCCAAAGGAAACCTGGGTAAGAGAGCCCAAATGAAGCTTGATTGTGAGGGAGAGGAAGGGAAGATGGAAACACACCATTTGATGTGGAGAATCCATAGAGATGCTCATAGGTTCAGTTAATCGTAGACAGGTTTGTTAGGACTGGATACCAGGTACCCTGCTCTTTCCAAGAGAGTAGGGCTGAAACACACATCAGTTTCCTTTTCTCCACAGCTTAATATGAGAAAATCCAAGAGGTGCTTTCATCTGCTGCTTCTCATCCCATGGATTTTACCATGGCTGAGAGATGTCCAGCCCTTGTCTGTTATTCACTGCAGACAAAGCTGCTCTACTTGGAGGGGTTTTGGGTGTTTTTTGACCACTTGGGTCTGTTACCTGTGCCAGAGGTATTGTCTCCTCTTTTATTCTGTCCTAGATACCTATGGAAAGCTCTGCCTGCGCAACTCTGTGGGTCAGGAGATGTCTCGCTGCAAGACCTCCATCCGCCGAGGACAGCCCAACCCTGTCTACAAGGAAACCTTCATCTTCCAGGTTGCCCTCTTCCAGCTCTCTGATGTCACCCTGATGATCTCCATATACAACAGGCGCAGCATGAAGCGCAAGGAGATGATCGGCTGGATTTCCATGGGTCAGAACAGCAGCGGAGAGGAGGAGCAAAGCCACTGGCAGGAAATGAAGGAATCGCAGGGGACGCAGGTCTGCAGGTGGCACACGCTGCTGGAGTCCTAGTGGTTACCAGGGCAACTTGCAGATCCTGGGACAAAGGGCTGTCTTACCTTGTTCTCAGCCAGCAGAAAACAGCTATCCCGTGGCAAGCCCTGTGCTCTGACGGGGCATGTGTGCTTTAACCTGGCTGCTTGGTGTCAGCAGTCATGGGTATTAAAGGTGGCAAGGCCTTGGAAGCACATTCAGTTCTTGTCTTTCCAGGTTGTCCTGCATTTTCTACATCCAAATAATTAACCCTGGCGAGAAGCGGTGGGAATACCTACAAAATCCTTTCCTTGGTCGTTGTCTTGCTGATTTTGTCATAGGCTTAATCATCACAGGCTGATTCTGATGCTGTTTTCTTCTGGGTTAAACTCTCTCTTCTCTCCCTCCCCTTATTTATATTAATGAAGTTTGCAAATATTCTTCACACGCAGATAGCTCACAGAAAGGCTAACCTGCATGCAGATCACATCCTCTCCCTTTTATTATCGTGTTTCTAAGTCCTAGAAATAAGCATTTGATACCACTGTAGACTGGATGATATATTTTTCAAGCAGCATGAGAAAGCACTCTTGAATTCTCTGTCAACTTTAAAGTGCCTAGACATTACTACTGTTCTCCTGTACTAACAGTTGATATTAGGACTTAACACTATTGATATTTTTAATTAGGCACCCTGCGCACTTGTTAGCCTGCATTGCCATAGGTTTGCACAAGAGATAATGAGCATCAGTTTTCTATTGCATTATACAATGCATGTTTAGATGTTTACTTGAAGTTATGGCTTCTGTCATCACAAATACCAAAAAAAAGACCAGAAAAAGCTGCACATCCACCTTTGTGCCTGAATCACTCTTTTCTGCATCACTGTTTTGCCAATGTGTTAATTTGGTTTTTAGAAGCAAGGTTCATTCAGAAAAGCATTTCTGTGAGCATTACAGGTGAAGGCTTCAGATCTGTGGTTTCTCTGTGATTCAGCTGAGCACTACTCAGTTTGCTGAGGGCTATCCTTTAATATCTTCTTGGGATATGACAGGGGACTAGTTTTGGCATACTGAGCCATAGAGGATGCCAGACCATGTCACCTCATCTTGGGGGCAAGCTCTCCTGCAGGTAAGGAATAGGATCCAGGGGACCCCCCAGAGGGGCTCTGCTGAACTAGCACCGGAGAAAAGTATTGTGCTTCCTGCCTCTCACTGAAAACAATGCAAGGAGCAGGCTTGCTGGATGAGGTGATGACACTTTCACGTAGTAACTTTTCAGACTATATTGTCCTTTTCCGCTCTGTTCTTTTTCCCTGTCTTTGCAAGTTGAAGCCATGGAGATGATGGATAGGGGACGTGTCTCGGTCTCCTGCTTGACTAAGTGGTTGTTTTTGCAGTGCCGTGTGTGACACAAAGGAGGATGTTCATCTTCAAGTGCAGTGATGGTATGTAGGCAGTGAGGTGCTGAGATCTTCAAATGCTATCAGCTACCCAATCTCCCATTCCCCCCGCTCTCTAGGAGAGGACTGGCATTTCTCCATTCCTGCTGATGACAGCAAGACACAGGAAATATTTTGCTGAAAAGGTTTGTCTGTACTGAGTCACTTCGTGTTTTGGTTTTGTCATTTGCTGAGATCTGGCACCAAATTCTGCCTCCTACTGCACTGCAGCCATCTCCTTCCTTCAATGGTGCTGTGCAAATCTAACTAATGCAAATTTTGGCACTGGCTGTTTGACCAAAATTGGGCCTCTCTGCTGGTTTGGCTCACATCCAGGCCAGCCAGGCCCTGAGGGCACTGCTGTGACAGTCACAGGTTATCACTTGGTGTCATACACACAGGCTCTGTCTGTCCTCATGAGGCAGACAGAATAATCTGCATGTAGGAGGGCTTCTGGTACAGGTGATACAAGTTATTCTACAGACCCTGCTTTTGTATATTCTTATCACCTGTCTGAGTATCATTTTTTCAGGGAGACTTCTGGGTATCATATGCAGGAGTGTTCTCCTCTCCTGTCTAGATAAGCTGACATATCTGCTTTGCACTACTGGGGCTTTCTGTCACAAAACAGGATACAATCTAAATTCAGCTCAGCAAACAAATATATTTTTGACTGCACTGCTAATGCTGCTGTATTACCAATGCAAAAAAAAAAAAAAAGGACATTTGAGTGGTAACCAGCAGAATAGATTTTTTTTTTTATCACACACTTTTCTTCTGGGGAAAAAAAAGTAGAGGAAACAACCCAATTGAAAAGGTACATTTGCTGATTCCAGTTGCTTTCCAATCTCGGCATCTTTATTTCCCTGAACTGCATAAAATGTATGTGCAAGTGTTTATAATTAATTTTATTACCTGGAATGTGAATATATGATAAACTCACTGAGATTTTCTCCATAACTTCTTGAACCTGCGAAGTGTTGCTTATGCTTCATGATTAGCTAAGGGAAAACTGTAAGTTGATAATGTGTTTCAGCGGTGAACTGGAGATAACCCAGATTTATAACAGTATGATTAAAAAAAAACTATTGAAAAAGATCATTTTAAAAAGCAATGTAATAAACTGGTTTTGGACTTCCATGCTGTTTTCACAGTAAGATCTTTTCCAAAGATACAGCATTATGGGAATTGAATTTTAATATATAATTTCAGTGTAGAGTATTGGGAGTTAGAGGAAAGCAAGAGAAAACAGCTTACTTAGAGTAAGTTAATATCTGAGCATGTATTAAAACTTAGTTGTCCAAGGGAAGCAGGTTGATGCATTCTTGCTGCAATCTTTTGGCCTTATATTTTACCGGAAAATTTTGGAGTGGGGGTAAAAAGGGATGCAGCAAATGGACCATTGGGGTTTTGGAGCTACTGCCAAAACTGTTGGCATATCCATGCCTTGAGCAGTGCATTCGTGGGGTTCATTATGTTCCTACTAAAGCAATGGAGGAATTTTTTGAATCTTGGGATGAACAAGGTGCTGGAGGTGCTTGTGCTTGCTAGTTGTATTTTGATATTTTTGCTGCTTTCGTGGTTTATTTTTCTTTTCGGTGTTGACTGTGAAATGAAGGATTTGTACCAGCCCTGGCATATTCCAAAGCTCCTCTAATTCTTCCCATTGACAGATTGAATTAGTCATTGCTAATATTGATACAGGCTTGGCTTGTACTCCTGGTCTTTCTTATGTAAATACCATTGCCCTTTCAGTCGGTGTTTTAACCCCTTGTTTCCTTTGGAAGTGGCTGACAAGACTGAATTTGCAGAAAGGTTTCCATTCCTTGGGAAGTTTGACTCTCCCTTGGCTCACAGTTGGTGATGGGTGGTAGGCTGGGCCCTGTGCTTCACTGGCCTTCCTCCATGTGGATGCTGATGCTTCCTCTCTGTTTCTCTGGGGTTCCAAGGTGGGGAGAGGAGCTTCCCGTGGGAGGGCCATGGGAAGTTCAAGGATCAGGATCAGAAAATAAAAAAAAAATGAAAACCCACAAAACCATTGTGTGGGAAGGAACTTAACTGCACTGGCATAGGCCCGGAATATTGTGGGCAAGTGCCCTGCATACAGCTCTGTATCTTGAACAGCATCGTTCAGCTGGTTGCAGTCTGTTCCTTCCTTGGTCTCTCTCCAGCCAGCTGGAGCTGTCCTGCTCTGTCCTGCTAAGCTCTGCTGTTGTTTTATCTCCTGGTTTTAATGTGTGTCGACAACAGAACAGAATGATCTCACCATGTTTATATTCCCCATGATGTGATCTTCAGCTGATGCCCACAGAAATGAGTACCTCTTTTAGCCCACTGAGCTGCAGTGCTGGCTCCCTGAAGTGTCCATTTGCAAAAGCTTTGTCTGGATGGTCTTCTGCATCCTTTGATTTGTTTGGGTTTCCTTTTTACCAGTGTCTTTAATTAGCTGGACCCTGCTGTGGCCTGCTCGTTCCTGTCGCTCTGCCTTGCCTGTGCTTCCCTTTGGAGATAATGTGGGTTGTGTGGCTCCTGGGGTACATGGACAATACTCAGATATATTTTTAGCGGCTGCAGATCCCGAGGAGTTGTTTGGTGCTTTACATAGTCGACTGATCTTCAGTCATGAATGTCTTTAGATGTTCCTGGATGCGCAGAACCAAAAGCTGCCAGCTGCTATTGATCATTTTTCCAGCATAAAGCCGGAGGTGGCAGCTTGGCAGAGGAGCAGGCGTTTCCTCTGGTGGCAGTTCGTTTTCCCCTTCAGTTGGAGCTGGCGATGACCTTGGAGCTGGCGTGCCTGCAGAGCTTGCTTTCCACTCCCATATTTATCATCATCTTTAATCTGTGTGATCACAGCGCTTCATCTCTCTGCCTCTCAGCTGCCTTCTGCCCTTCAGCACGAAAGGTGGACAAAAAGGCTGAGCAGAGAATATGGCCTTCTCCATCACGTTATCCCTGGGCCTGAGGGAAGCTGACTCCTAGAGGGGTTGTCTTAAAGTCTTGATGCTCATGATCAAGACGATGCATCCCTGCTGTCTAATCCACTTGTGGACTTTGAAGGTTGTTAGTTGGGCTGTGATACTTTAATATTTACAAAGTAGTGACACCTGTTCACCTCAGTGTGGACCAAGTTAATGACAGAAGAAACAACCTGTTCTGTGTTTGCTTTCTTCTTTCTCATGGGCATTGTGTTCTGTGAAAGGACAACAGAGCCTGAAGGAATTAGTATGCAGGAACATCCGCTTTCCATTTAAAATGTACTGTGATGTTTGCAGCTATGGTTTGAGGGGGAAAAACAAAGCATCCAGGGTTTGTAGAAAAGCTCACACATCGAATGAGGCACGTTTTCCCCTTCAGCATGTGCTACCCCAACAAATACGTTCTCATATCCCAGGAAGCGGTGCTGGCTCTCAGCTCATCTGCTTCTGTGATACAAGCAGCCAGAAGCTGACAGATCCTAAAGCTTGGAAAGACATCCAGGATAATTCCACATAGCTGTTTTGGGTGTTTATTTGGGATCTGGTGCAGATTTAACAAGATGTCGTGCAAAAAATGAAAACCCCAAGCAGCGGTGGGAAGGTGGTGAGGAGGGAGGGAGTCAGGGAAGGCTCTCAGTGTGCTCATGCTGCTGTAAAACTGGGAGTCTGCTCACTCTCTACTCCAGAAAGCAGCACAGCTGGGCTGCAGTGGCATCAAACCTGAGCTGAAACCCAGTTTCTCTGCGTGATTCCTGAGCTCCAGATCTGCTGAAGGCATACAGCCTTTTTTTTCAGTGCAGGGTGAGCTTGTGTCTTCCTGCAGCCTACACTGTGGGCCCAAAGAAATGAATGTGTAAGTATTTTGTCTCTCGCAGCAGCCCAAGGTCATCTTTCTGGAACAGCAAACAGGCACAGAATCCAAAGAAGATCAGTCTGTCATAGGAGTAAGGTTAGCATCTGCACTTACAAATGACAAAGGCTATTAATCCTCATGCTGTAATCCCCAAGCTATTTGCCAGCTGGCAGCAGGAAGATGTTCCCGCTCAACCCACACAGCTATCCATGTTTTTTCACCTTTATGGAGCAGATATAGGTCAATACTGTAGCCTGGATAAAGAACTTGGTAGATACCATTCATCTCTTTTGGCATTACAATCCCTCTCCTCTCCACACAAGCCATCTGTACAAATTAGTAAGAGGAGAGCTGCAGGCTGGGCTCTCCCTGAGCTGCTCCCTCAAAACAGAAGGTTGAAGGTGAAATTTTTTTCCCTCCCCTCTGCTCCTGAGTTTGTCATGGGAGGATGAATTTTGAGATTTTACTGCAGAATTGAACAGCTTGAGAAAAGCTCTGTCACTAGACAGGTTTTGTACACAGAGCAGAAAAAACCTAATGCTTGTAGAAGGCAGAAAAAAGTCCAATATTGATGCTTTATTCAATCCTAATTTGGGAACCTGTGTGGGAATTGAGTATTGCCCATCACAGGAACATAAAATCCTGAATCCTACAAGTTATCACTACTGATAAGGCAGAAGGAAGACTGCTGCTTGGCAGCAGTGCAGATGGGCTGTGGTAGTCTATATGATCTCACCAAAAACCTATACGGTCACCGTGTTACATCCAGTGAACATTAGGCAGGCTGGGGTTGGAAAAAGTTGAAGAAGAAACACAAAAACCAGATGGGAGCTGTGAAGCTCCATTTAGACCTGTTACTTGCTCATCTCTGTAGAAAATTGGAAAGCAAATTGTTGGGTTTTACTTAACAGAAGTGGTTTAACAGAAATCACAGCTGCTTGGGCAGCTGCAGGTGTGAGGAAGTAAGGATGTTTCCTCCTGGCTCTTGCATTTCCTCTGGCTGTAATGGGTGACATAAAATAAACATCAAATACTCCAGAGGTGTCTGTCCTCTGTACCATCATACCCAACCTGGGCTGATCTTATTGAGTAATAAGAGACAGAAAGCTGATATTGGCCATGGGTGAAGAACAAAGATTCAGGATCCAGACAAAAGCTAGATTCTTCCTGAGCTCCACAACCATTAATGAGCTGTGACCTCCAGGGAAGGCATTTTGTTGTGCCAAATACCTCCCTTTCCCTTAATTTCTCAAACTTAGGATAACATTGCAAAATTTTCTCTTCATTAGCAGCCAGGAAATAAATAATATAATTTTGCCAGCTTTCCTCATCCCTGTGTCTTGTTAACACTTTCCAGGTGCTTTTCCTTCATGCTGTCTCCATCACTGTGTTTCCCATCCTCTCATTAATATCTACAGAGGTCTGCTCCAACACAGGTCTGTACCTGGTAGCAATATTTTATGTTCATGGTGCTCAGGATAAAACCTATCCTCTGATCTCTTGCTGTCACTACGTGGCACCTCAAGCACAAGTTTTCCAATTAAACTGGTACCACATCTCTCCTGTATTCTTCTGCTGACGTTGCCATGTTTTGTGTTTTGCTGGGCTGTATTCTCAGCTGTAACTTCATTGACTTTTTCCCAGCAGAGAGTTTTGTTTGTCAAGAAGAGTAAATGAGGTAATCATTCGGTAGACTTAGCATTTAAATACTGCGTGACATTTATATGTGTATATATAAAAATGTTTTTTATGGTAGAGTGCCGCAAGGCATTTGCATGAAGCACATCTCAATGTATATTTGACTGTTGATTTAAATATACTGTATATAATAAGTTATTTTTAGTGTGTATCGACTTCTTTCTATATTGGAACAATATACCACCTCTGGCAGGCTTTTGTTGTCTCGCTGTCGCAGTCACAGCTGGACATTGGTGATGCGGAGACTGAGGTGTCCCTCTCCTCTTTCCTCTGTGTGCCCTGTGATGTGGGAGTCTTTCCCCCCCCAGCAGCTTTGTGAGTACACAGATATAACTCCTGGGGTGTGTTGACACAGGACAGTGTTGTAAGCCTCTTACTGCATTTCCCTCCTGGAGTTTAGTAGAATAATCTGCCTTGAAGATTTTTCCTTTCTTTGCTGTAGTCTCCTAAGTACATCCCATGGGTGTGTAGTGAGCCAGTTGGTATTCAGAGTGATTCAGCCCTCTGGATGAGGCTGCATCAGGAGTAATAGAAATCTCAGCTCCCCTTTTGCAGCCTGAGGTCACAGAATCACAGAATGGTTTGGGTTGGAAGGGGCCTTAAAGACACACTTGTTCCAAAGTCCCTGCCATGGGCAGGGACACCTTCTGCTAGGGCAGGTTGCTCAGAGCCCAGTCCAACCTGGCCATCCACAGCTTCTCTGAGCAACCAGTGCAGCCAACTCCCAAAGTATAAACAACAGGAGGACACACTATCCATTCCTACTGCTAAATAGTGAGCACTGCTGGCATTCCTCATACCAGCATCCATCATTACTCAGTATAGAGAGATGCTCCCACCAGTTACAGGTCTATAAAAGCTCTAGATGATCCAGCAGTGCTTCAACAGGAACCAACAGGCTGCATTGCTGTTTCTCCTGCCACGGTTGTATCCAGCTTTCACATATTGAAAAGAAAATGTTACCATGAATTCCCAGAGAAACAAAAATGTCTCATAGAATCACAGAATGGTTTTGGGATGGGAGGAATCTTAAGGATCATCTAGTTCCAACCTCCTGCCGTAGCAAGGAGCACCTTCCACTAGACCAGGTTGCTCAAAGCCCCATCTTACCTGGCCTTGAACACTTCCATGGATGAGCATCCACAGATTCTCTGGGCAAACACAATATTTATCTATAAATTAATCACTTTAAATAATAACAATACAGAAAAATTAGCAAAAAAGGCCAGGTCTCTAACTTCTGGTGTTTCAAAAGCAAGGCTTCTAGAGCTTGCATTTATTGTTGAATTATTTTTATGATAAATAAATCTATAGAGGGAGAACTGTTCATAAAGTTTATAAGAAACGAATTCGTATATTCTTTTCACTTTTGTAAAGCTCAAAGATTTGCACTGAAAATTGTACCTTCAATCTAGTTAATAAACAGCTGGTATTGACTGGTAAGGCCACCAGGGTGGTTTGACTGTTGTTTCACTTGCTGGGTACGTGATTGAAGGAGATATCTGCAGTGCAAAACTGTGACAAAATGATGAAATATATGATGAAAAGATGTTTGGATATTCATCAGGAAGAGTGGTACGGGTTTATTCTTAGCTTTTCATGCAGCTGACAATGAAACATTTTTATTCTATTTAAGTGCTAACGTGCATGATCATACAATATATTGCCTCTCGCTAATTATATGCTGTGTTAGGAATACTAATGTCTAGATGATATCTGACTGGGGGAAAAAACCCAAAACGCATCAAACCCAGCTTCTGCAAAATTCTGGGCTGAAATTACCCACACACACATACAGCCATCCACACCTTAGAAACAGTCTTATTTTGTTACGGCGAACTCTGCTGTTGCAGGTTTTTATCAATAAAATAGAAGCAGATGGCTCATGTAGACATGCAAAACCGACGTATCTTCCTTTTTGTTCCCATTGTGGCTGAACGGAGTGAATATGCATCTAGGAGAGGTGGATGTGTTTTGTTCGGAACTGGGATGCAGGTGCCTGGTGCATAATGCATAACTGGGAGGAATGGAAAGTATCTGCCCCCCACCCGGTCCCCATGTCCATCCACACTGACAGAGGGGCCCTGTGGCAGCAGGCTGGGGGGGCTTTGGGGGATTGGAGAGGGTCCCATGTACCACTGTGTATCTGCTTCCCCCTGCACACCTCCTTTCAGCCAGCTCTGTGTGGGGAAGGAGAAGTGCTGGCTATGCCTTTGATGCCTGCTCTTCCCCACTCTGCCATCCAGCACCACCAGGATTTGGGGGAGAAGTCCCTCCCACTCTCTCCATGGTGGTTCCCCAATCACCGGGTTTCTCGTATACACCAATGACATGTTGGCATCTGCACCAGGGCATGCGGGGGTCAATGTCACCATTGTGTCTCCTGTGTGTAGATACCAGCCTTGTTGACATCCTGGGACACTGAGGGATGCCCCCATAGCAGTTAGGCTGGCCACAGGGTGGAAACAGAAGTAAGTGCTCAAGTGATGAGCTGGAGAGCTGAAACTGGGCTGACATGAAGCCAAGCATGAGGGATATGTCTGTATCTGGTGAGTACTTTTGCTTACATCTACCTTTGATCGTGATCTATTTGTGTGAGTGGTTTACTTCTGGCAGGTTGAAGTTGTAGTCCATGCCTACGTTAAGACAGAAAAAGACAGAAGCTAAAAAAACTTTCCAAACTGGTGATTTTGAACTGGGGTTAGTTTGTTCCTCTCAGAATAGCAGTGCCACCTTTGAGGGAGACATGAGAAACCACGATTTCTGCATCCCTGCTGGCATCCACAGGGTTGGCTTTCCAGGACCAGCCCAGAAATAGAGTTTCTTTTTCTGGCAACTGTTGGTAGCTTCAGTCCCTGGAAAGCCCAGGAAAGGCGGCCAGTACGAGACATGTCTGGGGACACAGAAAACCCAGCCCAGAGCCCTTCATCTGAAAGACAGTGGGGAAGTGGGTTATGCTGGGAGGCTAAGAGAAAAACAAGGGATTTTGGGAAAACTCACCCTCCTTGGTGTAAATTGGGGATGAAAAACGTGTTTTGTTGATGTTCATGGGTGACCAGGCTCAGCTGAGAGTGCTTGGGTGGGGCTGCAGGGCAGGCTGGGGGTTTGCTCTGGAGTGGCAGCCAGCAGCTCCCCCAGACACAGAGGAGGATCTACAGAATCAGGCACCATCTGCAAGCTGCTCAGGGGTTTGGGAGCTCAGGTGGGCACTGCTGCCAAGGTGGTGACATGGTCTGAGTCGGTACCAGCACAGAGTTTTTCTGGCTTGATTATTCATAACACTGCTTCACCCCACGCATTTTCTGAAAACCACTTAAACTTCTCCCTGCCCAATCAACCAGCCTCAATCCTCCCACCAACTCACCCTATTCCTCCCGTGTAAACCCAGCACTGAGGGGTGCCAGCAATTGCTCTGGATGACTCGAGCACTGGGGGGGGGACCACACTTGTGTTGCTGTTCCTGCAGCCTCACCATGTCCTTTTGGGAATGTCCCCAGCCTCAGGGCGGGTTTTCTCAGGCTGGTTCCCAGTGCAGGGCTAACCAGCATGGGGTTTGTTTCACCCCTCTGGGCAGACTTGCCTGTGTCCCTGTGCAAGCTCGGCACATGTGATGATGAAGCTGCTGGCATTGAACTCGGGGAGAGAGGGGGTATGTCTTGGTGCCAACACTTGGTTAGCTTGGCCTTAGTGAGGCTGCCCATAAATTTGGGAATAAAAGACTCAGGATTTCTATGTGCTTGGTGGACAACTAGTGCAAGTGCAATGGGCTTAGCAATCCACTTGCTGCTCCTGCTGGGACGGCCCTGCTCAGCATCAGCTCGTGTGGGTCTCGCTGGGCTCCCGGCTCCCGGCTGTGTTATGTTTTATCGCTCTCATTATCCCATTCTTCCTCCAGCTGCATTTTAATTCCTTGCTTAGAATGACTTCGTTCCTTGGCAAAGCACCAAGTAATGTTTTTTTCGTCCCTTTTTTCATCCTAATTTTGACCAGTTGGAAAAGTCACATTTTTAATGTCAGGAAACTAAGTTTTGAATTTCAGCGAAAGAGTGATATCATTTTTCACGAGAGGGTGAAAGCATTCCCACTTCTCAATCAGCTCAGTGGAGGCTAAAGCTGAGCTGTCTGCCATCTGTCTCCTCGCCAGTCTCTCTTCCACCATCATCACTTTTTAACAGGTTGGCCAATTTCAATCACATTTGAGCGAAGGGTAACTGTCTCAAAGGCAGTTTTGCTTCTGCAAATTTTGTCAGCTGGCAGAGGATCGTTTACAGGGAAGCAGAAAGAAGTAGGTTTGATGGCCAAGGGTTGGTCAGCTGGTCCATCATGACAGTGTAAAGCTCCAGACAAGCTTCAGCATGTGCTGACTTTGGTCCTGTCTCTGGTTGAGCTGTGGGTGTCCAAGCGGACACAGTGGAATTTGTTTGGGGGTGGTGGGGAGGATGTAGGGGATAAAGAGCACAAATAAGTAGGAAAATGAACTTCATTAGTTCTGCTCTTCCCCAGCTTGTTTCAGAAGGTTTTTCTAAGTTTTTTTAAAATGTAAGGAGGTAAAAAATAAGTTTTCAAATTTTAAAATACCAACAAATTTTCTTGTACAATGAACTGGGAGATAGAGATAAAAAATAGAGTTCTAGTACTGGAAGAGTTGAAAGAGAAAGAGCTAGTATTTTAAAATGAAATGCAAAGGCTTCATTTTAGATTCAGGCAGAATTAGCCTCCCTAGGCATCCAGTCCCTGTGAGGTTGGCCAACTGTTGGGAGGCATAAACAGGGTCCAGAAACTGGAGCTACTCATCTTCATTTGCTGTGACAAGCCAATGACTGGGAAAGCTTTTGAGAGTCTATGTCTGCTGGAGGCAGCTGAGCATGCCAGGCCAGGGATAAAACCTGGTCCAGGATGTAGCTCCTCACATCTGAAAGTTTTCAGATACAAATGCTGAACATTTTGGGTATATTTTATCTTTTGAAAATAACTTCTGCATGCTGTGTTTAGAAATATGGTACCTGTGTAGGCATATGCTGCCTGAGAGGACTGGTGCTTTTGTACACACATCTTTTGAATGTTTGGTGCTTGAATTCATTACTTTAATTCACCTTTTCTTTAACACTTGACATGGGGAGACAACTGTTTTGAAATGA